TTGCCCTCACTCCTCCATGGCCTGTTTGGTGAAGAGCAGGCTGAGGGGAGACTCATGACAGACTGGTTGTGGTTGGAGAAGACCTCCAGGATAACTGAGTCCAGTTGTCAACCTAGAAAAATACCCACCATACCCAGAAGAGAACTAGAACATGCCCTGAAGTGCCACATCTCCATGTTTTTTGAATCCTTCCAGGGATAATGACTCCGCCACCTCCCTGGGCAGCTGTTCCAATCCCTGACTACTCTTTCAGTATAGAAATATATTCCAAATACCCAATCTAAGCCTTCCTTGCTGCAACCTGAGGCCGTTTCCTCTGGTCCTGTCATTACTCACTTGGGAGAACAGCCCAACACCCACCTCCCTACAACCTCCTTTCAGGCAGCTGTAGAGAGCAATGAGGTCTCTCCTCAGCCTCCTCTTCTTCAGACTAAACATCCCCAGTTCCTCAGCTGCTACTTGTCTGACTTGTTCCCCAGACCTTTCACCACCTTGGCAGCTCCTCTGGACACGCTCCAGCCCCTCAAAGTCCTTCCTGCAGTGAGGGGCCCAGAACTGCCCCCCGTGCTGGAGGTGCAGCCTCAGCAGTGCTCAGCACAGGGGCAAAGGGGTAACCAGCTCTGTTTTACCACATACAGGGAGACAGTTTGAAAACGTCTAGAGAGTGTTGGCTGCCCCACAGAGGGCACAACAGACAGGGGTGGGGAAGTAGATGCAGAAGTGCTGGGGGTGGAAGAGGTGCTTGTAGCTGATGTTGCTCCAGGGCTTGTACTATGAAGCCACAGCCTTGACACTTCCCCTCTGCTCTTCACCCCTCAGCCTGGCAAGTAATGTTTTGTTAAACTGCTGAAAAGTTGTGGAGGCTGATGTGAGGAGCTGTGGGGTTCCTTCTGCTGCCAGCAGGCTTCTTACCCTCTGAGTAGAGATGGCAGTTGAAAAACCATTGCACCTGAAAAGTGCTGAATCAGAAGCCAAAGACTGTCAGCATTTGGGTTGAGCTGCATGGCAGTGCTTGCATGGCAGGAGTCTTCAGAGTGATTCTGTAAAGCTGTGACACATAATTTGGCCAGTTTATGGAGCTATTGTCTCCTTAGCAGAGGTGTCTGTGAGAAGACACTGTCAGTACAAAAAAATCACAGCATCACCAAGGCTGGAAAAGACCTTTAAGTTCATCAAGTCCAGCCTGTGACCTGACACCCCCACATCTCCAGACCAGGGCACTAAGTCCCACATCCAGCCTTTCCTGGAACACCTCCAGGGATGGTGCCTCCACCACTGCCCTGGGCAGTCCATCCCAAGGTCTGATCACCCTTTCTATGGGGAAGTGCTTCCTGATATCCAACCCAAACCTCACCTGGAGCAGCTTCAGGCCAGGCCCTCTCATCCTGTCACTGG